GAATAAATGAATGGAACAAATATTTATAATTTAGCTTGTAAATGTAGGTCAGGCCTTGTTGGCCCGGGGGCCGGTTTTTAAGGATGCGCAAGCCCTCAACCGATGATTTATGAGCAATTTCAAGCGCTCCTTCACACACAATGGAACAAAAAGTCAGCCCGGGTCGCAATCCTTCTCCTAAGAACAAATCCAATGAACTAAAACTCACTTAGCTAATAAAAGTGTCTGATAAGAAAAATGCAAGCTGCGAGGCCAGCCCATTAAAGAGGATTTACCTCTGCGTGGAAGTGGAGAGGGCGCAAACATCTTGGCTCTTCTTCTTCGCGCACGTCAACTAGTCGATGCTGATTGGGTGATGAATAGCCCGGTGGCTCATCCGCTCCGTTTGGTTATTACGACATTCTGGAAGAGCACGGGAGGAACACACACACACACACGCACACAAAAACAGGACAACCGCACCGGCTGAGTAACGTTCTTTCACTTTTGTTGTTCCGTAGGTGGAGCGCTGATGGCGACTCGAGGCTCCACAATGTCTCCCGGAGACGAGCCAGGTCGCCAGGAAGTCATAGTAAATTTTCAAATGTTTCATTTTTTTTTTTTCCCCCAGAGAGCTTTTGGAGACTTTTTCTAAATCTTTGGGGAAAAAAAAACGACGGAAGATTATTTCACTCTTGTAGGGTGTCCGTTCATTTTCCAGCTGATGTCAACGGAGCAGAAAGTTCACGGGAAGCTAAGAATGGAAGCAGGTTGCCGATTCAGACCTACGGGGTGTAAAGTGAACTTGGGAACGGTAAACAGCATGTGAAGGAAGAGGAATAATTGAGGAAGAGATGAAAAATGCAGGATGACGCGTGCGTGGAAGAAGGCGGGAGAAGAAAAAAGAGAATTTGTGGAAATGTTGAGAACGAGGGGAGGGGGAGGGCAGAAGGGAAAAAAAAAAGAGGAGCAAAGTCCCAAGTGGTCCTTCCTGACCCAAGTGTGCCTGGTAAGTCAGCAATCGAGGATGATTTGTGTCGTCATGGCAACAGACACAAAACAAATGAAACACAGACAGAGGAGGATGAGACTGCGCATGGTTTGTTGTTGTGTCTTGATCTTTTTTTTTTTGTTTGTTTTAGGGAGGGGTGGGGGTGGCGTTTTATTCCAAAATCTTGACAAAGATGGTCCAGTCAAAAAAAAGAGGAAAAAGACCTTGAGATGTGTTCACTGTCTTCAGGCGACATCCTGCTCTCAAGCACAAAGCTAAGCAGACAAGAGTCATTTTTTTATTATTTTTTTTACGGGTCTACCTTCTCAACTTGTTGATCGTTATTCCGCACGATCTTCCTCAACAACCACACTGCAGTCACGAGAGCGTGAACGAGCCACTTCTCCGTTCCAGCGGCAGGGTTGGGTTAAATGAGCGGCGGTACGTCGGGGTCATCCACAAATCCCTCCGAGGGCTCGTCGTCAAGACGTGCGGCGGCGGCGGCGGCGGCGGCGGATGGATTCCAGCCAGAAGCTTCCAGCGGCCCTTCGACGGTGCGGGGGCGTGTCACGATGTTGGCGATGTCCACGGTTCCGCTGGCGTCCACTTCCAACCTCTCTGGAATGGAGCGCTCTCTGAGGAGTCAACAAGATACATTGGAAAATATACGTTGCGTGAGTAGGCGGTATGAAGCGGAATGTCTGTTGTTTCGGTGGGTTGCTGGATCAAGTCCCGCGGGTTGGCCGGTGGGTCTGTGGGGTCAGCCACTGGGTTGTTTGGTCTGTCATTTGGGTCGTGGGTGAGTCTGTTGCTGTGGGTCAACTAGTCGCTTAATTGATGGGTCACTAGTTCAGCCAGTCTTATAATACGTCCGTTGGTCAGCCACTGAGTTAGTCAGTCAGTTGCTTGGATGACGGGTCAGTTAATTGGACGATGGGCAGGTGGGTCAGTTACAGATTGAGTAGGGTGGGTTCGTCGGATAGCGGCTCACTGGCTCAGTCAGGGTGTCGTCGTGTGAGTCGGATGGGGGCGGTCAGTTTGTCAGTTTTGCCGAGTTAGCAGGTCAGTCATCATATTTTCATCGGATGAGGGGTCGGTTGCTCGGTCACAGGGGCAGTGGATCAGCTGGTCAGAGAATTGGTCATTAAGACGATGGGTTTCGCGGCTCAGTCAACGGGTCTCTCGGTCAGTGAGACAGTCAGTCAGTAACTTGGTTGACGTGTCCAAAAATAGCCCCGCTAACACATTGCATTGCACACATTGATGACGGACATTTGGCCACTTCGCCCGCATGTCGCCGCGTCACGTGACCTGAAAGAAAGTTTTCCGCCGTGTTGGCCCGGAGCCGGCCCTCACTGATGGCTCTCTAATTGAGTTTGACGCGGCCGGCGCGACAGCCTCGCCGACTTCTGCTTAGCGTCAGGAGACCATGTCCGTGTCACGGGTCCCATCTTAAGCCCATCTGCCAGCGTTCAGATAAGAGGCAGACTAAAGCAATCACTGCTGGATGTCGTCTTCTGCACGGCTGGATGGATAATCAAAGACCCGCCGGCACTACGCTGCCAAACCGCCTCATCCGCTAAGAAGCTAACATACAAGTCGGAATCACTGACTCTTTCCTACTGACTACTCATTATGTGGCACATTTCATCATGTTTACAAACAATAGGCCAGGTCAATAGGTCAATGGGATGCGAACTGAAATAATGACAAAAACGTGTTTTTCAATTTCCTGATTAAAAAAACAAAATCTGGGGCAAGACTGAACCCTGAATTGCCTCTTGGTCAGCTGGTTCGATGCAAAACTGCATTTCAGTGTTAAGTAAAGTAAAATCTTAATCTATTCTAGCTGGGGGGGGAAAATTGTTGTCCAACAAAGTCTCAAGGTGCATTTTTACATATAGAAAATCTTTGAATGGTGTCTCATATTTTGAGTAGTTTAGCTAAACACGCTAACTAGACACACTGGCGCATTTTGACAAAAGCTTCTCCTTTTCGAAAAGTTTTCTTTTGATTTTGTTTCCTTTTACTAGGATCCATCGTAGAAAATTGAACCCGGGCTGGTTTGCACCTGTGTCGAGGCAGTAAATTCTCCCCGACTGTGACCGCTGCCCTTTTTCTCAAGCGAAGTAGCTTGCTAGCCAACTGCTACGAAAATCTTTGGTTCAAGGGTGACTGCCGCCTGTCTCTAGAATAATGTCCGCCCTTGTACATGAGACAAGAAGCAATTTGTGAAGCTGTATAAACTGCGTGTTGAGTCAACAACATGATCCCCCCCCCCCCTCACAGCTACGGTGTTACGCAAGTTGATTTTCGACAAGATCGTTTCAGCTTTTACCACCCTGAAGTACCATCAGACTAAAAAGGTCTGTGGACGGTTTAGCGACGTAGCACATTAGCACGCAGGTGAGCAGAACGTTGCAACAATTTGCGCAGGTCGTTCGCTGCAAGGATGCTTGGGGTCAGGGTTCGCGCAAGAGGCGTAAACAAACATCACGTAATCAGTCGCGGGGGTTGGGGGGCAGCTCCAGTCTCCAGCGAAACCGTCCGGCGCTGCATTATTGGAAGAGGTTAAATATTTACTCATCAAAAAAGACTCACAGGTCAACTTTGATTTCTCGCACCGATGACCTGATGTGGGTGTTAATGCAGCAGCGTAGCATAAAAATGAATGAAAGCGCCATTCATTTATTACAGCCTCCCAGGAAAAAAAAAAAAAAAGGAAAACAGCACTCGATAACAATGTCCTTCTTATAAAAAGTTGTCTTTGGGTTTTGCGATGAAATATCAAAAAAAGATCTCTTTGAAAGTGAGGAAGACTTTTTTTTTTCACAAATTATTCTCAATTGCTAAATACACGTTAACTTCAAATACCAAAAATGTAAAATACCCTAAAAATTTTACTCAACTCCTAGAAAATGGAAAATCTGCTTTTTTTTTCACATTGTATTCTTTTAAAAAAATAAATATTCTGTGGAAGTTGATGCAAACTGATGCTGCCCACAAAAAAAAAACGTTCAAAGTGTATTTGGTGTCTCGAGAAATAAAGAACCCCCCCCCCAAAGTAGCACAACTTATTTTGA